TAAAAAAATCCTGGCTTCATTGCCAGTATTTTTTAAAATATAATCCTGCACAAGGGTACACACTTCGTTGGAACCTTTGTTAGCAACTCCTTTACAATATGAATAAAATACTGATTTACCAGTTTTAAAATCATATATGGAAAACTCATACAGCCATAGTTGGCGTAGATAAAATATTTTCTGGACAGAAAAGTATGGAAGTGGCAAATTTTACATAAAATCAAATGCAATCCCATACACATTAGGATTGTTTTTGCACTTAGTTTCACTTAGTTTTTTTTGCACAAAATTTTTTTAAAAATTTGTTTACTTGTCTTTTGTGGATCTCAATATCTGCTTGATAGATTCTTTTTGCATTGTCATTAAGGTGCACAGTGGGTCCAGAAGGCAAAGTTTTGGAAATAGGATCATAACTAATGATTAAAAAATCCTAGAAAACTCATTGAAGACTTTTTAGAAAGATATTTTTTTGCTTGATATAGGAAAATTTAAATGTTTAATATTTAACTAAATTTGTGGACTGGGTTCAAATTACTATATTTGGTCATTTTTGATAAATTTTTTTTTTTGATAAATACTTAAAATTGAATTTTTATTCAGATTACAATTAAAAAAGTAATTTATTAGATATACTTAAAGAAAAGAAAATTCAAAAATATAAATAGTTTGGAGGTCTGGTTTTTACTGTTCTATTGATAAGAAGTTTAGCATTTAAAAACAAGTATTCTGTCAAATTTGGATTTAAAATAATGTTAGTATAATAAAATCATAAAGAAAGAGTTCCTGATTTGAACTTGCAACATATTTGAAGATAAAAAGTTAAAATAGTAAAAAATTTTAATAAATTCATAATTTATCATGAATAAGGTTTTCAAACATATCATCAAAATATCTCTTTGGTTTTGAAAACATTCGCTTATGAGACTTGCATGTATGCTCATTTGAACCACAATCTTGGCATAACTTTAGAGGATACAAATGAATAATTTGGTTTAAAACATAAGGATCCAATCTCTCTTAAAGACAAATCATCACACCAATAAGTTGTTCTAAATACAATGTCTTACGAGAGAGAAGTATTAAATAGTTATTAATATCTTTGCTGTTTGCTTCTAGACTTTCCTCCAATAAATTGCCAAGAGTCTAACCATCATTAAGAATTATTAACTTAATTGAATGATGAAAAACACCATGTGTGTGGTCAGTTTGTGCTAATGGCATATTTGTAATATTGTGAAGTGTAGCATTATTGCATGACTCCTGAAGTTAATTATACACTTACAAGAATCTATACGAAATATTATACTGATTTGAGAATGTAGTAGTAACATGCTATTTTTGTACATAGGAGAACATAGATCTTTTATGGTAGAAATTAGTTCTTCAGAAAAAAATGTATGAAGACCTAAATTATTGCGATAATGATTGGCTGAAAAAAATTGGTGATCAGAAAGTAAGTTATTAAATTCAAGATAAGAGATTAAATGCTTGTTAATTAAAGATTCAAAAACCTTGCTTATGATAGGAAGAAGACTAATGGGGTATTTGTTAGACAATTCAGATAACTCTCCAGAATTTTTGAAAATAAGGATAACAGATGCCGCTTTCCAGCAGGCTCAAAAACAAGACTCTAAGAAGCACTTGTTGAATTGTTTTGAAAGTATAGACGACAACTCCGGAGATCACTTCTGCAAGACCATAACAGGTATGTTGTCCAGACAGAAGCAGGAGTAATATGAATGTCCAGCAATGGATCAACCTAGTTATTGGCTATATCAAGTAGAATGCAACTAGTAGAATCAAGAGATGATATTGATGAAAAGTTCTTAGCAAGCAATTCAGCTTTGTCTTTAGGTGAGGTGACAAAATCTGATCCATACAAGAGAGGTCAAATAACAAATTTTCCCTTGTTATTGATATTGTTAAATATTCACCAGAAGTCATGTGAGCTTAATTTTTGTGATGAAATATGAGTATTCATGCCTTGAGAATAGCGGGCTGTGGCGTTTGACAAAACTTTTTTACAACAGTTTTTAGCAATAGTAAACAGACGTCTATTTTCTGGAGGTTTTGCTGATAGATATGAAAGTAAAGCTTTCAATTTAAAATTGTAGCCTCACAATGTGAGGAAAACCAGAGAGGAAAGTAAGGCTTGACTTGGAATTGTCGAGAGGGAATAAAAGATTCCATACCAGCCTGAATCCAAAAAGTTATGTAAGAAGCGCATTTGTCAGCCCAATCAGCTTTCAGATAGTTGTAAGAGGTACGATGATAGAGGGATTCTGATGATAAAGTAGATTTTTATAATAGTTTATATTGTTAATAGGTCATATTGGCTGATGGATAAAGAGAGAGGGCTCTGTCAATTTGATCAGAAATAACATCAAAAAGAGTGCAGTCTTGAGATAAAGGAGAGCGATATAAAACAAAGAGAAAGGCAATAGAGCAAAGTGGTGCTAAACAAAAGCACATGAAAAAATATTCTGTGGATTCAAATCTAATTTCCTGACAAATGGTTGAATTCTTACGAATGAAAATGCCAAGGCCGAGCATGTGTCTATTACCGTCTATACGAATTTAAGAAAGATAACCATCAATACTAAGATCACAAGGTGTTTCAGATGGTTTTTTCCAGCTTCAGAAAGTGTTTCAGGAACTAGCTTATAGCAGCCTTGCCTGTGCAGCAGCATTGCCTGTTGATTTTTAGATTTTGAAAATGCAGAAATTCTATATAAGACTTTTTATCTCTATCTGCTCGATGTTAAATATAAGTTTAAATTGAAAATATGAAAAAATGCTGGGTCTAAACATTTGATGTTATACTAATCTCTCAAAACTTGTTATCTTTATCTAAAATTTTTGAATATAACTGCTGAGCTTTGTTTTTAAGCTTTATTCTAATGACAGATGTTTAAATTTATAATTTACCCATAGATAAAATGGTTCTACACTAACATCTCTCTAAACACTGTCTTTCCTATAGACTTTAAAGTAAAGACATGTTCTAAGCACTTGCTTTAAAGTGAGAAATTTTCTTAAAAGAAATTGTTTTAAGTATTTGAAGCATTCATCCACTATGTATTTATTTATTTGCTATTTTTCTTGTAGACATTGCAAAATATGTAAAAATTGATAATATTTATGTATCTGAAAAACAACCAAAGAGATATTCCTTATTGCTCAATTATATTGCTTAAAATTAAATTCTGCATTGTTAAGTGTAAAGTCTATACAAACTGAACAAATATTAAGCCATATTGTAAAATTAATCTAAGAAATTTGAAAATTATTTTAGGTCTTTTATATAACATCAAGTGGGTCAGGTAAAACTGGCAAACACATGGTTTTCTTGTCATAAGTTTTCATGTTGCATTAAAACCAAAGTAATTAGAGAAGATGCTTTTCTGTTTATAGGTTTTGGCCCACCTTTTCACCTTTAAGTAGATCAAATATCTTACAGGTACCTCCCTTGATCCACTTTTCTACATCTTCAACAGGAACCTTAACTACTTTGCTCTGGGAACCTACCAGTTCAATAAGCTCATAATAACTGGTAGCTTTGGTTTCCCCATATGAAACTGCATGGGCACATCACACATGATCAATATCTCCAACATCTTTTTCTTTACTTTCTTGCTAACATCATCGTACTAGTATAACTAAATGTTCTGTTAAGTACTACGTATGCCACTGCATGCTAACAGGAAGGGCTTGTCTTAGTTTTAGGCGATAGTCCCTTATTTCGAATGATGACTTAAAAGCAGCCAAGTCATTTGAAGATGACTTGTTTGTCATATAGGCTTTTAAAAAACAGGTTCCATAGCATGTAAAAATAAACAATGCTGCTGTCCTTACTATGTCCTTTGTTACATGGGCTCAGTCGTTCTCAGGGTCAGCAGGTATAGAGCATCTGTCTTGAACTTTTTAAATAAATTATCATTTTTTTTATATATATTGCTCTCCTGGGCCCTTTAGTTTTCTCTCCTGTGAGAACTTCCATAAAATAAGAAATGTGTCTCACATGTGTCACCTGAAGATAAACCAGAGAAATGGGATGTTGAGAATATTTGTGAGAATATTAATGGCACTGACAAAAACTCCAGTATTGGAAGCAGTGGTGTCCCAACATATGGCAAAGATCTAATCAACTATTTCTTAATTCTCTAAAAGATTTAAGATTACATCTGTCTGGTCAACTCCCACATAGCTTTAAGCTTGAACTACTCCAAAAGAATATCATTTGTGTCATCAATATCTGGTGAAGTAACACTAATACAAATACTTTCAACAGTAACAGTAGTATTCAAATTCTCCTTAACTTCTTTGATCTTTTTGCTGTTGAAGTGCAGGACAAGTCTTTTTTCCTTTAAAGTTTCCATTATATATTGTATTATCGGGTCTCCTAACAATCAAAATAATTATAAATAAATCTTTTTTATTCTATAGAGCTAGGTCCTTTTTCTTTTGTTCTTTCTCCACTTCTGTATTTGTTCTTTCTCCACTTCTGTTATTCTCTGCAACCAATCCTGTCTGTTTTTAACAGATATTTTAAATTCTTTGCCTACTTCCATTGTAATATACATTTTCCTATTCTCTTTCTGGTCTAAAAAAAACTGAATATCCTATCTAACAACAAGCATATTGTTGAGCCTAACTTAAGGGACTTTAAAGAATGAGAAAAACTTAAAAGGTATCCTGGGGAAAAAAAAAAGTTTGTACCTGGGACACCCTAATACACATGTATCATAAATATATATTATATGTATATAAAAAATATATTCCTAACTAACTTCCTGATATATATTATATATCAAGGAGTTAGCCAGGAATATATATTTTTATCGAGTTTTTGCAATATTTGAAATATTTATTGTTATTGTTCTACAAAATATAATTTTTATTGAAATTGTTTAATTACTTCAACAAAAAAATATTATTGAATTATAAGTATTTTTGTCCATGTCAAAGTTTTCTATGTTTTAATTTTTATTTATTTCAAGTGCTGAAAAAAAAAAAAAAAACTCCTACACATGTTTCTGTAATGCTTTCAAAAGATAATTCAGCCACAGAAGAGAATTTTCAACAAGGTTATGATGAGCATTTTGATCCTCCAGCTCCTGATGTTTACGAATGCCCAATATGTTTGCTTGTTCTTAATGCACCTGTACAAACAGAATGTGGACACAGATTCTGCAGAGGATGCATATTAAAAGTTTTAAGGTTTTAGGATTATTATTATTATTATTAATATTATCATTATTATTAATATTATTATTATTATTAATATTATTATTATTATTATATATATATATATATATATATATATTATATATATATATATATATATATATATATATATATATATATATATATATATATATATATATATATATATACATATACAGGGCTTAATTTAACAGTCGGACATCGGACATTGTTTGGCTAAAACCTCAGATTGTCCGATCAATTTACAAAGTCATCTGACATTTTGTCCAGTGGGATTTGAAATTCTTTAAAATAAAATTTTATTCGTTGATTTGAAATTGACAAAATTAAATTTAATGTAAACTATTAGACAAACTTATAAAATATGTTGATAATGGAGGCATTCATTTCCAATTAAAGCGCTGTTATTAATTGTAGTTTTAATGACTGTTCTTTAACAGTTTTTTTGTTATATTATTAAATTTAAAATTATTGCTTATTTAAAACAATCACAAAATGAGATATTATAAAATGCGAATGAGCAAATTATTTTTGAAAAGGCGCCTAATCTAAGAAATGTCGCATTATTGAATTCTACTGATAATTCAATTATGTAAAAGTTTTTACAAGTTTTTTCAAGAAGTCAAAAGATGGAGATTACAATAATGAAAAGAAGCTTAAAAAAAAGGTTTAGTTATATCAAAATGGGAAAAGTTGGTGTAGCTAATTATTTTTTTTTATAGAGTGAACAAACTCTCATTGAAAAATATTTTGTTTTGCAAAGTATGTCAAAGTATGTTTGATTGATTACTGCAAATACCGTTTACACTGAAAAGCAAAGAAAAGCTGGCAGTTTTAAAAATTTGATAATAAAAGATTTTACAAAGGTATTTTTTTAGATGCTGAGATCTCATCGATGCAATATTAAAAAAAAACATTAAGAAGATATACATTTAAACATTAACGTTATGATCATCCAAATCATTCTATTTTAGCTTGAGCGGTTTTTCGATGGCATCCTGGTCCTCCTCGAGTTTTCCGATTCTTTAATCATTATTCGTTTTTTAAACTATATCTTTATTTTTTTTATTTTTTTTCTATAATGAATATATATATATATATATATATATATATATATATATATATATATATATATATATATATATATATATATATATATATATATATATATATATATATATATATATATATATATATATATAAGATTAAAAAGTTCTAGCTTTATAAAATTTGTCTGCCAAAGAAGGAGTGCCTTTTTGAAAAGTAGATAAATAATAACCTGTGGAACTCATAAAATTTTCTTCGTTGAATTGATAGAATTTTAATGACATGCAGCGCGTGGAGTTTTTAAATTAAATAATAGCCCGTAAATATCATATTGCGTTTGATTTAACCGCCTTTAAAAGCAAAGCGTGTTGATTTTTTCGAGTTTGTAATAACCAATATCTAGCGTAATGATTTGATTTAACTTTTAATGAGTAAACATATAAGAATTTCTTTAGATAAATATCACTTAGCGTTCTAAATGGCAAACAGTATAAATGTAATTCAGATTATTACAGTAAAATTTTTTTAGTTATTATCTTTAAATAGTACATTATCATTCACTAGAAATAAATGCACTTGTTTTCATTATAATTTTGGAACACTGTATAAATTCATTGTAATGTCAGTGATAGTAATTTAGTGATCATGCAAAGTCTTGTAAATCCCATGCGTATGCTTGCAAACTATATTATGAATATAAAAAATTACCACTAGATCAAAGAGCAAGACAAATGGCTAATGTGTTAGGTAATCAAGATGTTATTTCTGGTATAGCAGTTATGGATAGAAAAGAAATTGAGAAAACTAAGAAAAAGTTTGAAGTTGTGTACTTTATTGCATAGAACATATTATCATTTACAAAGTACACAGAAATATTACGGCTTGAAAAAATGCATAGTGTTGAGCTGGGAAAGGCATATTTTAGCAACATCAAATGTGCAGAATTTATAGATTTTATTGGTGAAGATTTTAAAGAGAAATCATTATTTGATTTGTCAAAATCTAAATTTTTTGGGATATGTGATGGATCAACGGATAGTGCAACATTAGAAGATGAAGTTGTTTATCTAACTTATTTCGACCCTGAACCTGTGGGAAGTGATGAAGCTCAAGTGAAAACAATCTTCATAGGCTTAAGAAATTTAAAAAATTCTTCAGCTTCTGGTGTATACGGCGCAATAGCAGATTGCTGCAAAGAATTATCTAACAAATTTGTAATTGAAGAGTTTGAAAGTAAGGCGATAGGTTTTACTTTTGATGGTGCTTCAGTTAACCGAGGAAGTAATCAAAGTGTTAATGTTATTCTTCAGAAAAAGTCACCCTGGATAGTATTTATATGGTGTGTTGCTCATCGCTTAGAGCTTGCATTAAAAGATGCTTTGTCAAAAACAACTTTTGATGACATTAATGAAATGCTTTTACATTTATATTATCTTTACAAAAGGGCACCAAAAAAACTCCTTCAACTAAAAGAAATCTACAATGCTTACAAAGAAGGAGTGGAATTTAAAGTTGGTGGATATCGCCCCAAAAAATGCAACGGTACTCGATGGATTTTCCACAAAATTGCTACTATGAAAATGTGTTTTGACAAGTGGGGAATTTACATTCAGCACTTAGAAAATATTTGTCAAGATCCATTGACCAAAATTATAGAGCGAGCTAAAATTAAGGATTATCTAAAGTGGAATGACAGTAAAATGCTATTTCTTTTAAGTATGTGTATTGACTTACTTGGAATCGTATTAGGGTTATCTGTTTCTATGCAAAGTGATAAAATTGACAAGGTTAATACAATGTATTTCCTGTCAAAAACAAAAGATCGCTTGGATTTATTAAAAAAAAAAAGAATTTGAAAAACTCCCACATGTAAAATACTTGATTTCGAAAGTTACTTGCAACAAGGGAAAATATTATTTTCAAAATATCAAGCTGAAAAATTATGACAGGTTAATTAATTTTGTTAAATCCAAAAAAAAAGAGTTTTATAAACACATAAAAAGTTGCATTAAAGTTCGCTTATAAGAAGAAGCTGAAAGAAGCTGAAAGCAAGCAAATATTCAAGTTTGTTCCGAAAGTTTTAAATTGTGAAAGATGGGATCAGAAAGAAGTAGTAAAAAACTTAACTGTTGATAACAATGAGTTCGCAGATGACACCATTACTTAGTACATCGATGACACCATTATTTAGTACATCGATTTGAAACATCTTTAAAATGTTCTGGCATTAATACGTCAAAAATGTGCTGGCATTATGAAACTAATTCTTCGAAAATGTTTCTGAGCAAGAAAGTTTGTTTTCAGATAATGAAATCTGATTTGTTTTTTTATATAAAGTTTAAAAATAATTTGTTTATCTCAATATTTAATATATTTAAGACATTATTATACTATATTACTAACAAACTTGTTTTCTTGTCTTTTTTATTATTGATAAAAATTGTTACATGAATGCCATATTAATACCTTTTTTGTGCTAAAAGTGGAGCTTAGTGCCAAATTGACACTTAGCATATTATATTTTGTTAAGTAGAAAAATTTACATAACTTTTATAAATGGGTAATGCAATTCAATGTAAACTAACAAGGTTTTCGAGAGAGAAAAAACTCAATGAAACTTCAAGTCTATCTAAAAAATTGCGCAGTATTGAATTTAAACTATTTCATTTAAATTACAAAGATCTATGATGATAAAAGTTCTGAATATATAGAAAAAAAACTACAACTTCATAAAATAAAATAAACTGGGAAAACATAACATAAATTTCGATTGGATAATTGGGTTCTGTAAAACTCAGATACGCCAGTTGCCCAGTTGCTAGTTCAAGCAAACCCATCTGCAGTACTTTTTTACTCTCAGCATTTAAAGAACTTTCTTTTTCCTGTGTTTCTTCTAACTAAACAAACATGAGTATATGTAAATATTTGTGAAAATAATTTGTTCAAATTTATATATATATATATATATATATATATATATATATATATATATATATATATATATATATATATATATATATATATATATATATATATATATATATATATATATATATATATATATATATATATATATATATATATATATATATATATATATATATATATAGGTTTTCTTATATGTAGTTTTTAATAAGTATTAATATTTAAGTACTAAAAATAAAATTAGTATTTAAAAATGACAAAATCAAGGGCGTTTTATATAAAAACCATCAAATTTAATTGAGGAAACTAAGAAAAGCCACAGAAATGCAATTTAATAGACTAGAAAAGTTTTAATTTCTTTAATGTTTACATACATCGACTGACAAATAGTTAGAACATGTGAGGAGTGCTGCTACAATTTTTTTATTTTTTTTCTGATTCACTTCCAACAAGGCTGCATGCAATCACTATTTAGTTAGGAGTTGCTAGAAAATAAATAATAAAGTTTGAGAGCAAGGAAACGGTTTACAGATGACATAAAAAGTTATAGGTTGTATGAGTCTGGAAAACATGAAGTTTGGAGAGAGTTCTAAATGAATGAAGTGCGGGAAAAAAACTAGATAAATAAAAGATTTTAGAGCATGCAGGGACAGATACAGTAAAGATAAGACTGTTAACTTACGAATCAAGCAAGAATGCTTTTTAGTTGAAAAAACTAGAGATAATAGCTATTTTGAGCAGTGACCATGATAGTATTTGTAGAAAAGTCTAGAAGTGAAAGAGCATCATTAGACGAACCAGGTCAAATACGACAACAGTATTTCAAACAGGGACAAATTAGAGATTTGTAGAGGTAGAGAATCAAGATCCACAATAAAATCTTTCAGTCACAGCATTTAACGAGTTAGTTTGTCGTAAAGTGAGAGTATTGATAACGGTGTTGATTGTCAAACAGTAAATTATTGGTTCAAGATGGGATGTATAAAATTTGTTGATCAAAGACTTGGTTAATAACAGAAAGA